TTCATGTTTGAGGCAGGCTATTTACAAGGGAACATGTGCACCCCTACCCACAACACACACACTCCCACAAACACAGACAACTTTTTTTGTACTCAGAAACCTCAAAATGTCTATTTCCAATGAAAATTCAAAGTCGAAATTTTTCACATTTTTTACTGCATATGTCGTACATAGTTAAGTGTAAGAAAAATCAAGACCTAGAAAAAATTAAACCTTAAAAAACAAACAATGGATTGAACAAACAATAACTGAATAATTGAAAATGGAACAACAAAGTAATATCAATGGTCAGACAAATTAGTTATCAAAGATGGTCCATGAAAGAAAAATTAGTTGTTGTTTTTTAAAATACTTGGATTAAAGTTCTAGAAAGAAGAAGTTAAATATCAACATTAAAGATATTTTACTTAAAAATAAAGAAAAACACCAAACATAAAATGAACATCAAACATCACACTAGAAAATGGTAAAGTATGATTAAGTTATTAAGTAATAACAAAAATCAGCTAAAGATTGTGAGCTAAAATTACAAAATAAGCCTGGTTACACACGAGAATGTTTGAGGATTGAACTCTAGTAGCCCTGTTGACAAGGTACTAGTTGAATCAAATAATAACAACTTGAGGCTTAGTCAAAAGTTTTGTAAAATTGTGTTTTTTATTTTATCTTTTACCCTTCTAATTATAATTCAGTAGTTTCACTTTTCATATTATCTTAATCCATATATTAAAGTTAATGACAGAAAATAAAACTCATGAAGTAATAAATTGTAAGACATTGTCAACACTTCGTTTTATTTCTCTTTAACTTTATTTTATTCTTTTATTGTTTATTACAAAATTAAAATCATGAAGTCTTTCAGTGATAGGACCCTGTATAGCCTAAGAGGCGAGAAAGGGGAGGACAAAAATAAATAAATAAATGTGCCAGATGTGCACCCACCCACCTTGATGTTCAGTTAACTGCGTGTGAACCAAAAGAGGCGATTCCTAATCGAAATGCCTAATCATTCTATTCCTGACACCTGTTGAAGAAAACCAGTAGAATCTACTTTAACAGTGTTGTGTGAAGTCAGTCCAAAGATTGAATCAAGATTAGGACACCTCGCATTAAGTGTTATGGAGCATAGAAGCAGCTCTTAAAAAAAAATATTATTAACATGGACTTTACATAAACAAACATCACCTCATACTCAGACAAATCATTTATGAGCTCTGGAAATCAATAAGATGATTCTGGGAATGTCAAGGATTCAAAGCGATCCAAACTCAACCATAAAACAAGTACAACAAAAATATAACATCATTCGAACAATCAACGGAAGGAAAAATAATAAAGTATAATATTTATGATACATCAAACTAAAAATAAATCTAAAAAGTTTTCATATAGTTTCAATGGAAATTCCATTCAGACTTCATGGAAATATTTATTTTCTATTCAACAATATAAAATTAGAAACTATCAACTACAAAAATCACTAGTCATTAATTTTTTATCCCTTTCCATTATCTTCTACATTTTATGTTTGATATTATTTTTTCTGAAATCTTTGTCTTAACAGCAGGAAAAAAATGTTTGAAGTTATTTTTCATTATTTTTTCAACTAACCACAGCATTAATTAACACTGGTTTAAGTAAAGAAGGTCAATGTAAGCACCATTGAGCTGCTCTCTGGTTGTGATCAGGGATGCCCCAGGTATGTAAATATGAAACCGGAATTCGTCCATAGATGGTTCTAGCTGATAATATAGTTACCGTTAAACTGCATTATTGGTGCCATTTGGTTTCTTCAACAGCTGGCAAAGATTTTGAAATTACAATAATCAAGTTTTATATAACAGCATCGTTTTTAAGGTATTGAACCTGTCGATTTCTGTGCCTACAAACTATGATTTGCGGACAGCATTAGTTTTCTGTTACCATTTAAAGAAATTATTGCAATATCATATTGAATGCTGTTCGAAACTTAAGGTGAGCATGCTCTTGGTTAATCAATGCTTTGAGTCGTTTAGAAAATTCAAAAGCTGCGATTTTGGCATGAAAAAAAAAGAATATGGAAGACCAGCAAAAAAGTTTTAAGACAGAAAATATCAAGTTCGTTATTGTTATATGAGGATGAAGCTCAAATCCAACAACTGATTTGACAATGATTGCCAGATAATAAAAAAACAGATCTACAGAAGTATAGAAAAAATGTATGGTACAGGAATACCATATAAGGTGAAATGAAGAAAAACACCTTCACTCGTAATAGAAGGGGAAATATAAAAGAAATGAATTGAAGAAAACTGAAATTTTGAAAAGAGAAATAGGAATCAGAAAATTCTAATAGAAAGTATTTGCAAGTAGAAAACCATTAACATCAAGATAGCTAGTCTGTATCAAGATAGCAGAAACAGTAGGCAAAGCACCTAAAATAAATCAAATTAGATAAATCTAATATATTCAGATGTAGACCTCGAACCTCAAAGAAACATGGGGTGGTATTAAAGAAATATAGTGGTATCACTATCTTCATATAAGAGATTCTCTTTTAATGGATGTTGCCATATACAGAAAAAAATCTAGGCATTTATCGATGCCAATGGCTTCAGGAAGGGAAAATCAGCTATTGATCAAATCTTTAGTCTTTAAACTATTCTGGAGAGATAACATGAATATATAGTCAAAGGAGATTTCACAACACATTATTTTTTTAAAAAACTGGAGGTTTTGAGAATATCAGCTTACTCTGAGGCAAACCACAACTTTATATAGGGTCAATGAAGTTTTTGTAAAAATGAGGTATCGGTAGTCCTGTAGGAGGCTGTTAAAAAATTGCTATTAAAACATGATTTATATGTGAATATAGTCCCTTTAAATAATTCCTATTATTCACAGGACACCCAGAATATGTAATCAAAGATGATGATCATTCTGATAATCAAATTCAGTTATACCTTAATCTTAAATGTAACACTGTTAATAACTTTGTTTTTACTTTAAAGTCGTAGGTTATTTAAGAAAAAGAAAAACTAACATCTAATGTTTAACTTCTTAGTATTTTTTTTTTTTTTTAGAATTATCATTAACAATAGGTGATAGTGCTTCTTTACATAAAAACCAGCACTTCTTTTGTAAATGAACAAAAGCTTAATAACTATTGAATGACAACTTTGTGATTTATTTACTTTGATTTCTCAAAAAAAAAAAAAAAAAGTATTCAGGGCGTCTACCAGTACCTTTTAAGGGAATTTCTTTACTTCTCCACATCATTTTTGAAAAAACTCCAGCTAATCGAAAAAAGTTGTGGTAAGGCATGTGTATAATATAATTCTTAATATACTCAAAAAATATATACTTTTTTATCAATATTTTATATAGTTTTTTAAAAGTTTACGAAATTTCCAAAAAAAAACAACAAAATTATTAAAATCGGACAATTAGGAGCAAAGATATGGTCTCTAGATGTTTATGTTTTGTTTTCATCTGCAAATCCTTTGTTTTGGTTTTTGATTTTTGAATGTGTAACTGGAGGTAATGCTATTTTTTTTTTAAGCAAATAACAAACATTATTATCCTTATGGAAATACAAATTCCTTTTTATACTACAGTTGGGAGGGTCCGGTCCACCAATGTGTCAGGTCAATTCCTACAAAAGCTCATAGAAATGTAATGTTACTTTAGATGTATAATTGTTGGGAAATAATAAACCATTGTGAAATAATTTGCAGCATTTTAATGTATGCAACCCTAAAATAAAACAACTTTCATTTTATTAACAAAAATTTCTTTTTAAATAGAAAACGTTTTATTATTATATCAAAACGTTTCATCATATTAAAGATGGACATATGTCATTTTTAAAAAGTTGAGAAAAAGGCAATGTTTGTAACATAGCTCCAATTTAAATGATTAATTTCATTATTCTTCCTCTTTCTAAAATATTATAAGGCAGTAAATGACAAATACCTTATATGCTACTTTATAATTTACTATCAATGGATATAATTCATTCTTTTTTGTCAAGAAGATAAGTAAAAGAAAACTGTGGTTCTCGACTAAATGTTTATAAACTACAATAATTACATAATTACTTCAAGCAACAATATTGGAAGTGTTATGGAAATATAATTTTTTAAGATATATAAGTTTGTATATAAAAAAAACAAAAACTAAGCTCTCTTTAATACATAAATCAAAAACATTCAAGCAGTCTCTTCAACACTAAACTCACAAAAAATTATCAGTTAACGCTGATAATAATACTGACTTTCAAATTTAGCCAAGCTATAACACAGTTTTTTTTTTTGCATAGAAATATAATTAAAAAAACAACTAATTGTCTTTATTGGCACAGAAACAGCATTTTAATAAATAGTTCAAATAATTAGAAAAAAAAAACAATAATTTAAGTTATTGTTCATCTTGAAAAAAATAATTAACTAATCATAATACATTCAACATGTCATATGTTTATACATTAAGAGTATTTGTGTACATATTTACATTCATGCCCCAAATTTTTAAAATTTCTTGACTTTTTATTGTTTTATAAAATTCAATGACTTTTACAGGTTAAAAAAAATCCCTAACTTTTTCAGGTATTCCGGGTCTGGTAGACACCCTGTGTTGTTTTCTAAAAATATGTAAATAATAATGTTATTGAAAATACTTTTATAACGATTATTAAAACTTTTTTTTCTTTCGAACTTACCTGTATTTATGTGTCAATTAAAAAAAAAAGTCATGTTTTAAATTATGCACAAAATCGAGTATTAAAGAAACAACTGAAATGTAGCCTTTTTAAACTAAAAAACACGCAAGTTCACTTCTTAATCGGATTCTGAGTGCAATTCAGTCATTAACTTTTTAAGGTGGTGAGTTATGTTCTAATTAGATAGCAGTAGATTTTATTTCATATCATAAACAAAGATTAGATTAATAATAAACTTAGATAGACCTAACCCGTAGCAAAAATTTGGAAGAAAAGGCAATAGACAATTGAACTCACATACATGGCTACAGTGGTCCAGCACCTTCTATCTGTATCACATTCAGTCTCCATTAATGACTCATTCCTAACCGCTTGTTTCTTCTCTGCCCATTAAATAATGAAGCCATCTGTCAATAAAAATGATCAATAACCCCAAGAATGCATTTGTCTTAACTTAAATACAAAATCTTAAAATTGTAACAGTCACTTCATAAAGTTGCTGTAATAAATTTTAAATTCATATTCCTAGTAAGAACTGCCAAAACTATTGAAACTTTAAATGAAATTAATTTATGATATTATGAGTAAAATTGGTAAATTACCAATGGTAGAATATGATTCTAACCCTTGATATGTAGATCTCTAAATCTATAAAATATGCACTGAATTAGTCACGATAATTTAAAATATTACTACTGATGATATGATTGATGCTAAAATTTTAATCAAAGGGCTATATAAACTGACTTTTAAGATATATCTTGTATCGTTTATGTTCAATGTGAAAATTAAAATAAAAGTAGTAATCTAAACACTGATGTTATTCTGTCAATAGGAAAATAGTGTTATTGCTTCATTCCTATACAGGGGTATAGTACAGAAGCTAAGGATTAGTTATGCATAGACCAGTTTTGGTGTAACATCAGTGAAATTGATTATTGAGAATTTGTACTACAGTAAATATATCCATAGTATCAGGGTTATTTGGTGACATGTTAGTAATAATTTTGAAGTCAGTTAAAAACAATCCCTAAAAGAAACAAATCTGCACAAAATCTATAGATCATTTAAATATTTAAAACATTTTATTTATCACTGAAAATAGAAGACAAAATAATATTGGGCATACTTAGAAATGATTCCATCAATTTCTTTAAATATAACAGTAAAAAAGCACATAAATAATAAAAAGGAGCTTGAAAAAATAATCATAAGCATTAATATAAACAGATACCATCTGAGATAGAGCTTGAATCATTTATGGTCAACTTGAAAATTAATATAAAAGTAGTAATCTAGACACTAACGTTATTCAGTCAATAGGAAAATAGTGTTATTGCTTCATTAATATCATGAATATAGGAGTAAAGTGCAGAAGATAAGAATAGTGGTGCATAGACAATTTTTTATGTAACATCAGTGAAATTGATTATTGTGAATTTGTACTTCTATAAATATATCCAAAGTATCATAGTTATTTGGTGATATTTTAGTTATAATTCTCAAGTCATTTAAAAACAATTCCTAAAGAAACCATCAAATATGTACAAAACCTATAGATCATTTAAATATTTAAATTTTTTTATTTATCACTGAAAATTGAAGACATAAAAATATTGGGGATACTTATAAATGATTCTATCAATTTCTTTAAATATAACAGTGAAAAACACATAAGTAATAAAAAAGAGCTTGAAAAAATTATCATAAGCATTAATATAAACAGATACCATCAGTGTAACACTTATAATCCTTCTCATAGTGAAACAAATTCAGAAATATCAGACAGCAGATTTACTTCCTTCTAGTTGGTAGTAGTACTAGAGTAGTGGCATAGAACATAGTATTAAATACCAGATAAGATTCACTGAAAGAACTCATCTATTAAAAAAACAAAACAAAAATTACAATATGAAAATTAATTTGAAAGAATTGAAACACGGACTAATTTGTACTAAAAAACATTTAATCTCCCAAATAATTAACTATCTATGATTCAATAATTGAACAACAACTTTAATTAATATAGAAACTATAATTTAGATGAATTTAGTTAATAATAATTGGACAAACAAATGCTTATATTGTGAATAAATTTTTGGTAAAGAAATTAGCTTTTAACAGCCACTCAAATATTAAAGCCTTAATATCATTAAGAGGAAATACTCTAACCATAATCAAGAATCACCATTTGTCCTCCAAAGAATATAATAGGCAAATTCATAAGTATTAAAAACCTCATATTTTATCTTGCAAATATTAAACAGCTAAAACTGATGTCATGCATATAAATCTAAGAATACAAGCATCAAAGAAAACACTTATTAAACTCATTAAAACACACACACACACATATATATATAAATATGTGTGTGTGTCTATATATGAATTCATTAACTGTTCCAAATAAAAGACCATAGACAATGCTTCAACAATATTAACAAAAATATGTTCATATATGTGAGTATTAATAATCTATTTAAAATAAAACATCATAGCAAATGCTTAAAAAATATTAACAGAAGGGAAACATAAGTTTTTATTAATTAAGTTTTAAATAAAAATATATTTGTTTATATAAATAAAATAACATCCAACAAGAAGAAACAATACAAAATAATGAATTTATCATGATCTAATAGTTGTTATGGGAGATAAATCATGAAGATGAGAGTGTGTTATTATCATAAAAATTGTGTTTAATTATATTAAATAGGGATCAATAATCAGATAATATAAATAGTGCAATCATTTATCAAATCTAACCAAATTATTATTTGTTTCTTGATTGAATATTATCAATCCTTTTATTATTATTGTGAACAATGCATAAAGTGAATGCATTAACAATTTGACAAAGGGCAATGAAAACTACTTCAACGGTTGCTATGAAAGTAATGCTAGGCATTTCACCATTAGAGCAGGAGGTAAAAGCACAGGCCTTAAAAACCATTTATGGGCTTGCTAATTTAAACACCTGTTCTAGAGTCCTCTATCAAAGGTTCTGAAAGTGCACCCGTCACCCCTTGAATTATTATGTGGCATAAACCTCAGCTATACCAAAAGGAGCATTAGGGAAATCTATTGCCTATAGTCAAACAATACTGGTACAATAAGGAAAAACTCCACTCTATAAGCTGTTCCAATTAGATTTGTAAATATAAATCCAGAATTCATCCATAGGCCACTCTAGTTGTTAATGTTAAACCGTATTATATTATTGGTGCCATTTTGATTCTTTGACTGCTGGCAAAAAAATTCAGTATAGAACAATAAATGTTTCATATAACAGCATTGTTGTAATAGTGTCGAACATGTAGAATTTTGTGCCAACAAGATTTGTGGACAGCATTAGTTCTCTATTACCATTTACAGAAAACTACTACAGTATCCCATTGAATGTTTGTCAAAGCTTACGGTGAGCATCCTCTTGGTAAATCAAAGTGCTAATGAGTGGTTTAAAAATTTTAAAAGTAGGGATTTGGACGTGAGCAATGAAGAACGTGGAAGACCACTGAAAAAGTTTGACAACGAATATCCACCAGATCTATTGAATGTATAGGTACTGTTACGGTGGGCGGAACTAGTCCGACAAGTGGATCCTATCGCAGTCCTTTTTGCCAACCTCTAACGGCTACCTTGAGAATGGCACCACCTACTTACCAGAGTGGGAATGTCAAGATTCATTTCCCGAGCTGCTAAGAAATGAAAATTAACCAACCTAAATTTTTGAAACCAAACAGAAGCTACAGGTTTAAAAGCAATGGCAAAGATCCAGAAGAGGGGAAAATGGATTCAGCATGAACTGAATTACAGAGAGTAGAAACCTGGAAAACAATCACCATAATGCACCTCACAAGGTACAAAAGAAAGTAATTTCTCCATTGAATAGAGACGGATGATGAATAGTGAATATATTTTGAGATTCCTAGGCGTCAAAGATCATGAATAACTCCAGGTAAACATTAACATGAATTGCAAGACCAAGTCACTATGAAAAGAAGATAAATGTAATGTAGAAGGGTCAGAAAAATGTGATCTATTAGGAGTTGTTATAACATGAAAAAAACATAATACTGAAGGTGATGTTGATGTATTAAAAATGATCTAACTTAATCAATAACTGCGTGAAAAGCACCTGGAATATCAAAAAAGTTAACACAAAGTGATTTTACTTCAAGATAATAAACCATCACATACAGCAAAACCAGTGAGGAAAACAATTAAGATGTTTAGTTGGGAAATATTAGTTCACGCGGCTTAATCACCAGTCTTGACTTTTTCTGACTACTATTTGTTTTTATCAACAAGGTGCAAACTTGATCAGCAGTTCTTCACTTCAAATGAAAATGAACAGAAGCAGCTTGACGACTGGTTTACCACAAAACAGCAACAGTTTTGCGGACATGACAATCATAAATTACCAGAGAGATGAAGAAAATGTACAGCTAGTGTTGGATAATAATACGGACACAATATTTGTAGACATTTTTATGTGATAAATGTGTATTTTCTATATGAAATCTTCAGTTTCATATTTAGACAACTGGTAGATGTTCAATGTGCAAGAATAAGCAATGTTTTGCTTAATATGAATAAAGCATCTCTCAGAAAATTTCAGCAATTTATACGGGTCATTGTAAACTAAACTGTCATATGTTCAAACTCAGATTGACAGTCATCTTAAGTAGATTCATGAAGAGGATGAAACAGTTTTTAGGTTTGTTAGACCTAGATTCAAGTTGTTTGAGATAGACATATTGATATATTCTTAGGATTATGAGCTTGTATATTCTACAAGCTTTTTAAAGTTTGCTGTACTTAGGGCAAAAATTATGTTTTGATAAAAACAGCTGTAAGTTAAAGTCCACTATAGGCCTAATGTAGCCGTAGTGCACAATACCATTAAAAAAACAACTTAACCACACAATATAATAAGACACCAAAACTATAAAAGTTGAAGAACTGCTCATTGATTTCATCTAATAAAATCCATTACTTGCACTCTATGCGTATTACATATTTAACATGTCACAACTATAATTAAGGGTCAGATGAAGGATAGATGCTGGTAGTAGTAATATAAAGATAAAAGACTTAAGAGTTCGAATCCTGATCTCATTTCCGAAAATGGCTGATCCCTACAGGAAGTTATGCCAAGAATACTATACAGCCTAAAACTTAAAAACTTATAAAAATACCTCAATTATAATAAATATGACAATCATCAATGATTATTAGATGGTAAATACTATGAAACTTGTTTAAAAAAAAATTATAATATCAATTCTAAACTGATCTTATTTACCAGAAATTTGAGCATTAAATAGGTTTCTAGAGATGGACTTTAT